AACGTGGAGTGATTTTTTTTTTTTTTTTTTCTGTCCTGTTTTTGACAGATGTGCATGGCAGCTTTTGAACATGAGATGGAGAAGGCTTTTGCCTTCCAGGCAAGTCAGGATAAGGTATGCAGCATTTGCATGGAAGTGATATATGAGAAACCATCAGCCTCTGAACGGAGGTTTGGAATCCTTTCCAACTGCAGTCATACGTACTGTCTGTCCTGCATCCGACAGTGGAGGTGTGCCAAACAGTTTGAGAATCCAATCATAAAGTAAGTGAAGCTCTAACTGGTCACTCTGTTTGCTTCTGCAAGTGACATGGTCCCTTCAGTAATCCTTTGAGAGAATAAATTTTATGATCCTACATTTAAAGGTAGCCTTATTTAGATTTGATTCAAGAAAATTCATATCCCAAGGGCCAGGGAATTACAGAACCTTGGATTCAGATGTGATTAGAGAAAATATGATTGGGCTGAATTGGCTTTCTTCAATGGAAACTTTAACTCTAAGTACTTTATTTGCATTTGAAATGTGTACTATTTTGGTCTGAAGTAGCTGTTTATGGTTAGGAAGTGAGCTATGTCAGTTGTTAATGTGGCACGTACTTTTGTTTCAATTCATTTAAGATCCTGTCCAGAGTGCCGAGTTATATCGGAGTTTGTAATTCCCAGTGTATACTGGGTAGAAGACCAGAATAAGAAAAATGAGCTGATTGAAGCATTTAAGCAAGGAATGGGGTAAGTTTGCAAAATATAAATTTTACATATTTCTTGGATTAAAATGCTGCTGTAAACCAGGATATTTGATAGTCTCTCAACTATTTTTCTTGTATACTGTACAAATAAAACTGGGAAATTATAAACCAATATTCATAGGTAATGAGAGTTGAGAGAACGTATATCTGACTCCAGTCCTGTCTGGGATAGTACCTATCATTTCAGTGGTAATTAGATAGACTCAATGAAAAAAAATCTTCTTCAAGACTGCAATATAGAAATTCCTCTAGCTTCCATTGGATCATTAATTCTTCAACTTTCAAAATGGGCTGTTGAGGCTATTTAGACTCAGTGGCTAAAACTGCACCCAACTGCCCTTTCCTCTTGAATTGTTACAGCTGTCTGGAATATTGCAGTCTTATATCACTGGGCATGCGGGATGTTGCATTGCTGATCTGAACTTCAGGTTTCTCCTTTCTATTCTCTCTTTCGTAAAAGGAACAAAATGTTACAGGGTGGTTATAATTAGTTATTGTGTCATCTTTTGAAAATGTAATGGTTTTTACATATATTGTGATCTTGAACAATAAGACATGACTGGTGATGAAAACTGCTGAGGTGCGTGATGAACAGGGATCTGGGTTTTCCATTCCCCATGAGAAAATGAAGTAAATGTCAGTTTTTTGTCCTTTACCAGAGGCAAATGTGGATTTCTCATTTTACCAGAGAAAACCATGGATTTTTCTGTTTTGCAATGAGCTCCCTGGAGGCTGGCAGAGTTCCAGGCTGCAGGGAGCTGGGAGGGAGCGGGAGGAAGGCAGAAAGACAGGGGGGTGCCATGCGCATAGGCATGCATGTGGCCCCAAGCAGCCTGCAGTGCAGCTCCAGCAGGTCAGTGGGGGGGGGGGCCGAGGGCCCTGTAGGGAGGAAGCTGGGCAGGGCTGGGGCTGCTGCCCAGGTAGGTGGGGCTTGGGGCCCAGGGCTGCAATGCGCAACTGCCGGGCCCCAGCAGGGAGCAGGATGGGGCTGCAGGTGGATCATCCAGGGGAGGGGGAGGGCTGGTTCCCTGCTGCTGTGCACACTCCTGGGGGGCAGGGGAGATCCACATCCCCCAGATCTGTACCTGTGGCAGACACAGCCTGCAGGCTTGAGCTTCTGCCCTGCTTCCCTCCCCCGGGGCCTCTGGAGCTGACGGACACGACTCAGCACAGCTGGGGACAGCGGGGCCATGCAGAGATTCCCTGCTGGTGTGAGCTCCATGCGCCCCCCCTGCTGCCCTCGTGACATGCCTTCAGCGCCTGCAGCTGCTTTGAGGGGTGCAGGGGGGAAGCGGGGACAGGGGGCTGCGGATCCGGTTCCATACCCCTGGCGGCTGAGAGTCCCTTCTGGCAGGGCTGGGGGAGCAGGGGCTGTGGGTGGGGGGCAAGGGGCACCAGCAAGGCTGTGGGGGCTGTGGGTAGGGAGTGAGGTGCACCAGCAGGACCAGAGGGGGGCTGTGGGAGGGCTTTTAATTTTAATTCCAGTTTTGGAGGCTTTTAGCAGAGAATTTGTGATTTCTTTATCTGGGAAAACCAGGATTCCTGGTGATGAAGCATAAATACTGTTACAGCAGTCTTCCAAAGCCCTCTTCGTCTGGGATGTGTTAATTTCCATACCCTGCTCAACTCCCAGTGGGAGAGTTGAAACATTGATGTTTTCATCATTGTCCTTGTAAAGGGCAAGGGTAGGGGGAGAGGGAGTCATTTGGTGGTGGGCGTGGAGTTTTTTTGTGTGTGAGCTGGCAAGTTCTCCTGACCATTCTGGAAAGCTGTGCTGTTACTGCTTGAAATGCTTGAATTTCCTGAACTGGGTGAGCCCCATTAAGGAATGGATATGTTTACTTGGCACCATCAGCAAACCTATGACATCACTCAGCATTTTAGAAAGCACCTGGTCTCCGCAGCCATGTTATGTAGCAGAAAGGATAACTAAAAATAGATACTGCTCCATTGCTGTTAAGAGCTGAGTCATCCATTTGTGTTCTTCATATTTTGTTTTGTTTTCAGAGAAAAAGCATTCAAATGGTTACAATTAAACATTTTAGAACTAAAATACTCTTGCTACTTTAATATAACTTTTATACCCTCTCTTTGTGTCCTCACTGCCCTGCTGCTGTAAACCCTTTTGAGTTTAAGCTGACTTTGTGTTCCACACTGAAGCCATACAATTTTAAAATAGCCACAGTCTAAACAAAAGGCTGAGGTTATTATGAAGACAATTGGGGAGGCTTAATTAGGATGGTGCAGCCAGGGGGCTCTCTTGGCATTCCACATTTAGAAATACCTTGCAGAGAAGAATTAGAAAACAAAAAGAAGTTTCTATTAAGCACTCAGCTCAAATTAATGTGTGGTGCTGTATATAGAACTTGTGCCAAAAAGTTTTCCATGACCAGAACTACCAGCAGCTTGTTGAACTTGCTGATGTGGCACTTCATAGAATGAAAGAACTCCTTCATGAAGTGTTCATTAAAGAACCAGAGTTTAAGAGAACCCAGTGTAAGCATGCTTGGACTACCTGTGCCAACTCTATGGACTTCCTTTTTTCAAATGTATTTTTAAGGTGTCAGAATAAAAGGAAAGCAAAAACTGAACAGAGCTTCAGAATTCCAAAAATCTGATACTTACAAATGCCATAAAACTAAGATCAGAAAATGTAAGAGAATTCCTTAACAGAAAGCATTTGGATTTTATCCTCTTAGAAACTATTTTCTACAAAAATATTTCCTTAAAGACTTGCAGTAAGCTTGGTATAGTAGTAAAGGTTCATTTTAGATATGGATGAAAGCACCATCACTGCAACTGTGCCAACTTGATCTTGACTATCAAGTTTGATATTCAACTTTGATATATTATATACAGTACTTGGGTATATGAAGTAATTGAAGCCTTAATTTAGGAAGCATTTTACATCCAGTGTTTGGTTTTAAAGCATATGATTTTGTCATTCTTTTATTGAGTTCTAGATGGTAGCTTCTGTGTTTGCTTCAGCAAAATGCCTCAATTTGAATTCTGACTTGCATTTTCAAAGCAGTGATCACCTTAGCACTGGAATATCAAACACACCAGTTGCCCATAGTATACTGGCCACTACTACTGTAAATGGTTACATTGAACAGTTTGGAGTAAGAAATCTATGCCATGGAAATCACGTTAGTAGACTTCCTATAGATGACTAATAAGTTTTTGAATTTGACTGATGGTCTGTTTTACAGGGAAGTAATTATTTTTTCCAGAAAATACATTCAGTAAGCAAAAGTAGAAAAGCTTTTTAGAACTTGAATCAGCAGAGCTGACAGAAATATTTCCTTTGACAAATATATGTGTAGTTTCACAGAACTGTCCAGAAAAGACAGACTGGAATTCCTCTGTCTGTGGTGGAGCTGAGGGGGGTGAGAATGGGCCTCCAGACAGGCAGAGTTAAGGCTGGGGCTGATTCTTCATGATGTGTGATTATTTTGCTGATTTATTTCAAGGTGAGGGATGTCCTGTTGCTAGCCCTAGCAAAGGGGTGGGGAAAATACGGCCTGCGGCGGGTCTTTGTCTGGCCCAGGGCGGGTCCGTTGGTTCCGTCTGGCCCAGGCACCATCCAGCCATGTTGCATCCTGCTGCCCCGTGGGCACACAACAGGTGCTGGGGCGGCTCTGCAGCTGGACTGCTTTTCTAGGCAGCCCAAATGGCAATGTCTCCTTCTGGCTGCCACTGGTGGCCCCAAGCCCCGCAGTACCAGTGGGGACCCAAACTGCACAGCTCCGATCCCGCATGCCCTGCGCCTGCTCCAGGCTCACTTGTCCAGGCTGAGCAGCGGTGGCACAGGACAGAAGATGTTACTCAGTGCGGGGGGGAAAAGTGGCCCCTCCCCCTCACTGTTGCTGGCCATTCCTTCTGCAGTTGCCAGGAGCCTGTACCCAGGCTGCTCTGCGCTGCCACTGCTGTCCCACTGGGCAGCTCAGAGGTGGCAGTGACAGTGACATAGATGCAGAGCAGTTCAGCGCAGCATGGACTTCAAGCAGCTGCAGCAGGAATGGCAGGCATCACCGAGGGAGAGGGGCCACTTTTCCTCTGCGCTGAGCAACAGCATCTTTCCCACGCCACTGCTCAGCCTGGACAGGCGAGTCTGGAGCAGGAGCAGGGCCAGAGCTGTGCACCATGGGTTCCCGCTGGTACCATGGGACTGGGGCCAGTGGTGTCGGCGGCTGGAAGGAGTTGCTGCCACCTGGGCTGCCTAGGAAGGCAGTCCAGCTGCAGAGCTGCCCAGCCCTGCTGTGTAGGTGGACAGCACACAGCAGCCACAGGGCAGGCCAGATCAGGGCTGTGCCTGGGTTGCGGCTGATCCACTCCAGTGGTGGTGGGTCCGGGGAAAGCTGGGGTTGTACACTGTTGGTGGTGGCAAGGGGGTGTCGCAAGGCACATGGGCTCCAGGCTGTTGCAGGGAGGGGTCAGGTGCTGACCTGCACAGGGGGATGCACGTGCAGGGGGCTCCCATGCACACCCCACTGTACCTGCAGACCCTATGACCACACCCTTCCCCATGTACAATCATACACCCCACAAATACTGCACCCGCCCAC